GTTCTGATCTCCCCTTCCTGTAACACTCAGGCTCAGAGCAGCTGTCTCAGTCATCTCTAAAGGAACACAGACTCTCTTCTTACCAGGCTCCTTTGGCTCCAGGGGACTGTTCCCGCTGCTCGTGTCATCAGGCAGAGCTTTCTCTTCTGCAGCCTTGGTCACAGGCTCCCCTCCTGAAGACTCAGAGGGAACACTAATATTCCCCTTAAAAGAAAAACAAGTAGAAATAAACCCAAGGATCACGTGATATTTTCTTGGAATCACCTTAGGGACACAGTAAAAACTGTTGTACACTCCGAAAGGATATGTAACACCAGGTGAACACTGCCCAGTTGTTTACAGGACAACTGCTTTAAACTCAGAATTAAGGCTGCCAAAATGAAAGCTCTTGTCCTCTTAAGCAAACCATGAAATCAGAAAACCAGAATACACCAAGTGAGGCTGTGTGTCCTCACAGTCTGAATTTTGCCCTCACTTATCACAGGAGCTGCAAGAAATCCAGGTGCCCTCCTTGCTACCAACATGTGTGTCAGGTTGCTTAAACACAGAGCTGTGTGATGTAAAACTACACATGAGCCACACATTTCTGGCTGGGAAACCCCCCACCCATCCTCCTGCTAAGACAATAAATTACAAGGTTTTGCTTGTTTCTGGAGCCCTCTGCTGCTGCCCCACATGTATTTTGCAGCCAGCCATTTACTGAACTGATGTATTTCCATGATCATGCGGCAAAAATCTGTAGCGTAAAAAGCCCTCCAAAACCAGAGAAGCAAGTCATGTTTCTGTTCCACTGAGGAAGGAAAGACCCAAGGTTAAGCACCTGGAAATTACCTTCAGACACAAAGATATTCTCTCTATGACCAGTTCTAGGATATTCATCTCTTCTGCAACAGCCTATCCATCAGAATCCTTAAGATGAATGACTGCTCAGAGCCTCCAACATTTCCTTCTATTAAGGAATAAAACGCTTCTGAAAACTGGTATGTGTGATGTTACAGTAGACAAAAGGGCATCACACTTGGGAAGAAGGTACTGGTAATGCCAAAAAATCACACTCCTCACCTTGACTCTGCCTTTACTTAAATATACAAAAGGCAACAGGTCCATATATTAATAGAAATACAGATATTCTTTGGCAAACTTGTGTAATAATAAGCAAAAAGAGCTGTGCTAATATAGGAACTGAACATTCCAGGGAAGTCCCAGAAGAGCAAGAGTTAGAGAAAGGGGATTCCTAATCAAAAGAGGCAATTAGTCCAACAAAAAGTCTAATGGTCCATGAATTGCTCTTCAACACAGAATAAGCCTTTGTCCACTTCAGTAAGTCTTTAACCATTTCACATCCAGGACCAACATTGTCCTTCTCAGAAATACACAAGTCATGGGGCCTCAAAACGCAAACAACTGCCCCCCAAGAACCCCATGGCTCACACACTTAATGCCTCCATCCTAATAGGGAAGTCTGCCCTCCAAAGGCCTTAAAAATGGAGATCTACTTCTCGAACACAGTTCAAAAGCTGTCAAAGATGACAATGTTTAACGTGCAGGTGACACTCAATACATTGAGAGAGCTTTACAACTCCATGTGTGCTGGCACAAGGACGTGCTCTTCCCTGCACTGCCATGAGCAGAACAGTCCCATCGAGGCTGGAGCTTTGCAGGGACTTTAGATTAGAATACACATCCCTTTCTGGAAAGATGGATACCCAAGAGGAAGATGACTAAACCATGGAACATGGAGAGCAGTAGTGGCAAATTTGCTCTAGGTGAGGATTTCCAAGCCAGACACTTTACTGGAGATCTCAAAACACAGAGAGGACAATAAATTGTTGCAGCTCCAGCACATGCACAACCATGGCACTTTGAGCCATGTGCAGCAGCAACAGGTGCAGTCCAGCTCTTGGCTTTCCTTGGGGTTCAAAACAAAAACAGCCAGAGCCCACATTTGGTGCCACAACTGAGGGAGCTCTCACATGTCCCTCACTGCATGTGAGACTTTGCCTTCAGTGGCAATGCTCAAAATACTCTTCTCTTATTTAGGATCAAAGACATCATGTTATAACCTACAAAGCTTCCACTTCATCACTGTGAATGCAACTGCAGGAGGTATTTTTTCCATGAAAATGAGACTAATTTGGTCAACACAGGAAAACACATCTCATGCTCATTAACGTGGGATACTTTTTCAGTCCCTCTTCTTCTTTAAATCTTACTTTACCAAGCAAACCCTTCAGTGTCCATTAGAAGCTGAATTAAAGAAGCCTTAACTTCTCAGGCAGGCAACTACATTAAAAAGCTGTCAGTCCAGGCCCCAGCATTGCTTCTGAATGGACTTACCTCAAGAAAGGGAAACATTTCAGGCAGGTTTGATGCAAGCACCTCCTCAAGCATCTGAAACACAACTTCCAGATCTACTCCTGCCCACTCGTCTGCAGCAGAGGGATTACAGGCCCAGCTGGAGGTCGTTGATGCTGCAGAACCAGCACTGCCAGTCAGAGAATGGGGGGCTGAACTCCCCAGTGTGGCTGCAAGAATCCAAACAGGGTCATCAGGCTTCCAGAATTTGGGTTTGGTTTGCAGAGCTCTATTGCTTCCATTGATCAAACATTTCAGGAACTGTACAGTAAACTCAATTCCAGAAATGTATTTGTGCTTTCCAGGTGATTTGAAGACTGATTCTTCATCTTAAAAAAGATTTGT